CAGGTGACTCGATGGCACATAACAATAACAATAACAACAACATCCAAGGTCCTGCAGTTGATACAAAAGGAGTAAAATCAACTCCTGCCTAGAGATCTTACCAATAGTAAAAACAAGAGAATTACAAAAATGTTGTTAGGTTCTGTCAAGTGGAGTATGACTCATATGGACCCTCTGACTAACAGATATAAACCCTGTCCTATCCTATGCCGTCTTCATACTTCCTGACACTCTAGAGCCTATTGTGTCAGTCACTACCATGTCAGTCCACCTGGTTGAGGGTCTTCCTCTCCTTTGCTGACTCTCCATGCTTCTCATCATCATGTCCTTTTCCAAGGAATAGCCCCTCCTAGCAACATACCCAAAGTGTGTGAGGCAAAGCCTTATTCTTGCCTCCAAAGAGCACTCTGGTGCACTCTCTCAGAGACATATCTATTTCATTCTCTTGGCCGTCCATGGGATGTCCAGTGCTCTTCTCCAACACCAGAGCTCAAAGGCGTCAATTCTTGTTTTGTCATCCTTATTCATTGTCCAGCTTTCAGATGCATAGTAAGTGATCAGGAAGACCAGGGCCTGAATCAGACACACCATAGTCCTCAAACTGACATCATTACACCTCAATAATTAGGAGCAGTACCTACCTGCTGATATTCCCAGTTCAATGTGTCTCCTGATTACCTGACTGCTGGTACCAAGGGTGTTAATTGTAGATCCAAGTAAGATGAAGTTGTTGACAGTTTCAATCTCTTCTCCATCCATCATGATGTTGTTTATAGGTCCAGTGGTAACAATCTTTGGTTTTTGTGTGTGTGTGTTGTTTTTTTTTAATGTGTGTACCGTCAAATTGGATCTGACTGGTACAGGAGGCGATTGTTCCTCCTTCTTCAGCAGAGCATCTGGTGGATTTGAACCACGCACCCCTGGGATTGCAGTGCAGTTTCCTGCCACTAGGCCACCAGAGCTCGCCAAGAATCTTTGTTTTCTGGACATTGAAATGCAGTCTATACTGAAGGCTGCATTCCTTGGTCTTCTGCAACAAGTGCAATAAATACTGAAGAGAGTGCCTAATTATTAAAGGCTTCTAATAAAGGAGAGAAGAGAAACACTAGGAAAGACATCATGAAGAAGGCAGACTGTAATAATGATTTTGAAAAAAAGCTTTAGTTCTTGATAGAGCCGGGAAAGAGGGCATTCCAGGAAGGGACTGTAGTATCTAGATGTAATCTGCAACACAATTTCAAGTTCTTATTAGATTAAGTCTCTTTATAGATTATATAGCGATATGCAGGTGACACAACCTTGATTGCTAAAACAGAGGAAGACCTGAGCATTGGCTGTAGAAGGTTGTTGTCTTCAATACGGATTGCATATCAATATCAAGAAAACAAAGATTCTCACCACCGGACCAATTGGCAACATCATGATAGATAGAAAAGAGATTAAGATTGTTAACAATTTCAGCTTGCCCCAATCCACAATCAACACTCTTGGCACCAGCAGTTGCACTGGGAAAGTCTGCTGTCAGGGACCTCTCTAGAGTGTTGAAGAGCAACATTGTCATTCTAGAGACTAAGATATACCTAATCTATTTGCTGTGCATCAGAGAGCTGGGCAGTGACTAAGGATGAAAGAAAAACAATCAATGCTTTTGAGTTTTGGTGCTGGAGAAGAGTATTGAATATATCACAGTCTGTCAAGAGAACAAACAGATCTATCCTGGAGAAACTGATACCAGGCTGCTCCTTGGAGGCAAATATTTTGAAACTCTGTCTCACATACTTTGAACATGTTGTCATAAGTAACCAGTCCTTGGAGAAGCACACTGCACTTAGAGGGTAGGAGAGTTAGCACAGGAGAGGGAGACCCTGGATAAGATGGATTGACACAGTGACTTTGGTAATGGTACAAGTGTATTGGAGACATTGGCCCAGGATAAAGCAGGGTAGCTATGAGTCACAGGCAACTCGATGGTACATAACAACAACAGCAGCAACTCTGTAAATGGCCAGTGTTCTTAACATTAAGGTGATCTCATTTAGCTTCTGATTTCATTTCCAAATTCTACAACTTCCTATGATAATTATTCAAGGAAAAGAGTGTGTTAATATTATTATCTTGAAGGCTGTTTGGGTAGTTCTTTGAGCCTTTGTTCACCAGTCTCTTTCATTGCAAAACCTCACCAGGTTTGTTCTCAAGCTGCAACATATGCCCTGTAGCCCATAGTTCTGCTTCCTAATTTGCAAGGAAAACTGCAGATTTTTAATATGGTGTGGAACAGGACAGAGTTCAGATCTGTTGTTCATAGGGTCACTGTGAGTCATACGTGACTCAATGGCACTTAACAATGACACCTAACAACAATAGCTCCTACCACTAACTTTATAAGCCTATTTTTTATATCTTTATCTGCCTTTACCTTTTCTTGTCCATTGTTCTTTGTTCATGCTGCTCCTTCTGTCTGTGATACTTCCTCAATTTCTACTTAAGTTATTATGAATGACATTTCCTATTTACAAACTAGTCTCTGTTCCCATATTATAGTCCTTGCTGGAAGTAAAATATTCAAGTCTGTCCTCTATCCCCACAGTGAGGCTATTTGTGATTCTTTTTCATTGTCTTTTCTACCCAGGTGGTATTTAAAATACTATACTTCTAACGTAAGATCCATGCATTTTTCTGCAGGTCTGACTTTTGCCAGAGTACACTGCTCTGTCAGGTATATCTGTTTTGGAAAATAATAAGATATCTCATTAGCAGATTCCAACACTATTACTGAAATAATGAACCTTGTAACTCTCCAACAGAAGTAGCTCCCCCCCCGAAAAAGTTTAAAATACTTGATGAGTTTTCAGCTTATTGAATTATTACCATTTTCCTATATTGCCACTCTTGTGTCATGTCTGCATAGATAATAAACTCTGAGTTGTTTCTTAACTCTCCAGTCATTCATTATAGCTTCTCCCTTGATTTACTCCCCAATGAGTTGACTACATTTATTTTGTCTGATTTTTGTTTGTTTAGTTGTGTGTTTTTTGTTTGGTTTTGTTTTTTTTTTAAATTAACAAGAAAGCCCTTTTGAGGAAAGAGTGTTTAACTTTCTTGGGTGAGGAAAGAAGGAATAAGCAGAAATTCTTCAAACCTTATCCTTGAACATAAACTGAAGAAGAACAAAAATGTGCCACGTGGATGTAGTTGTCAGGCAATCCAGAGGGAAGAACTAAAGGGATGAAGGTTTTATAGATAGAGAGAACTATCCTTGGTTATAGGCAACTCTGGTGGCCTAGAGGGTAAGGAGCTGCGCTACCAACACAAAGGCTTGTGGTTCGAATCCACCAGCTGCTAGGCAGGAGAAAGATAGACAGTCTCCTCTTGCACTGTTTACAGTCTCTGAAAACCTATTAGAGAGCCAGCTATGAGTTGGTGTTAATCGATGACACATGGCAACAATACTTTTAGTAATATTGTTAGAACAAAATGAACATAGCGAGATGAGACTTTAAGGGCTCCATATGGCCGAGCCAGAAGCAGGAGCTTACTCTGACAGTAGGAAATTAGTTTTTGGTAGTTTTAAGTAGTAAAAGTACATGCATTGGATTTTAGAAAGATTGTTTAAGTATTGTTGTGTAAGGTGCAGAGAAACATGCGAGGATATTATATTCAAATGGAATAGCTTAGTGAAATGAGACTTTAAAAGAGTGGCCAAAATTTAAAAAAAAAAAATTAACCAAATTATGACCTTGGATGTGATGGATTGACACAGTAACTTGGGTAATGAGGGTAAGTGTGTCAGTGTCAGTGAGACTGGCTCGGAATAGGTCAAAGTTCAGAGTTGTTGTACACAGGGTCTCAATGAGTCTCAGGTGACTCGATGACACATAACAATAACAACAACTACCAAGCCAAAGGTGGGTGATTTTAATCTGCAGCCCACAGGCCTGGTTTTAATTGTTTTTGGTCAAACATTCTTCTAAGGGGTATAGCACTGGTCTGTGCATTGCTGTACAGAGGTTACTCGTCGTTGCTGTGAAGCTGAACACTGTGACACTGATGCAGCAAATGCAATAATGGTCACCCATGGTGGACAGTGTTTGGTGGAGCTCCCCAATTAAATCAAGCTTGGAAGCAGGAGTGGCATCCACTTCCAAATAGCTTGCCTACAGAAACCCTATGAGCTTGGAGAAACAATGAAAGTTATACAAGTGTTCAGGTCTTTCGTTCATAGGGTCACTATGAGTCGTCTACGACTTGATGGCACTTAACAACAACAACAACAGTCCACTAGTCGTCTAGTCCATAGGGAGTGACTCTGTTGACCCAAAAGCTGTGTCTCAAGCAGTTCAAATCCACCAGTGGCTTCTTGGAGAAAGACAGGCACTTTCCCGTCATAATTTGCAGCCTCGCAAACCTGATGGAACATCACTATGGGTCAGAACCAAATTTTGTGACTCTCCTATTTAAAAATACTCTATTTTAGATCTAAAATAAGGTGAAACTCTTTAAATAGGCCTCGTCCTCTGATCCCTGACTGCTTCTGCAGTCTCTCCTCTGCCTGGACTCCCCTTTATTTCTGATGCTGCAGCCATGCTGGCTGCTTCTGATCTCTGAGACACACCAAGAGATGCCCTGGCTTGAGACGCTGCATGGCCTATTCCTCCCACTTGACAGTTCAAATCTACCAGCTTGTTCGCAGGCGAAAGGTGGGTGATCTCCTTTCAGGAGATTCAACTGCCTCTGAACACGTGCTAGAGAATCTGCTGTGAGTCAGTTCCAAATCCACAGTACATAAACAACAGCATTCTTTCCATTTACAATTCTTTTCCTCCAGGTCTTCAAGTGGATGCTTCCTTTCACTATTGAGATTTCTGTTCTATTCTCATGCCAAGAGATTTTTCCTAAGCTCCTGTTACCTAGTGTCTGTCACATCACCCAGTTTTATTTTCTTCATAGCACTTATTAATACATAAAACTCTCATTCCGTCTTTGGTTTACCTCTAGAGGATTGGCTCCTTGGAAGCAGGGCTTTGTCCGTCTTACTGTCTGGCTACAAGAGCACTTGGCACCAGCAAGTGCTCACGTCCTGTTTGTTGTCCGACACTCTCTTGGTGTTTATTTGGTATCACTCTCGAAGGAATTAATTTAGTATTCTAAGGCAAAAAGCATTATTACAGAGAGTCTTGAAACCACTATATGTGATATTCTATTCCTTCTAAATATAAAATTCTCCACGTTACCCTTCAGTTTCACTCCTTTGTGTCTATAGTTTATGTTCCGGACTGGTAGCTTCTATCCTGGGAACACCGGCTGATGTCATCAAAAGTCGAATAATGAATCAGCCAAGAGATAAACAAGGAAGGTAAAAAGAAGATCTTCGGTATCCTTGTGTTTGAACATCAGTGATAATGTTGCTCTGCAAGATGTTTATTTGTGTTTAAACTTGATAGAAATATGTTTGTGTGTTTTATGTTCAACCAGGAAATTGTAATTATATAATTACATGCTGTTTGTGTTTTGAAGATGTACTGTATATTTGAGGAAGTGAGCTAACTTATAGGCATCATTTACATATAAGGTACTGATTGTGACTTTATTATTTACAAAGAATTTTTCAAAGAGTAAGTACTCTGGTGAGAATTTACAGAGTACTTTCATTAGAAGCTTAGACTTTATAAGGAACAGAGAGAATCTGATTTGATATTAAATAGTACATTCTTTCTGGAAGAGATAAGGTGCTTTGACATCCAAGAAATTAATAGATGAGAAGAGTCAGCCTTGAGAATATCTTTAACCTCAAAAAAGAGTGCACTATATGACCCAGCTATTCCACTGCTCTGGTGACCTAGTGATAAGAAGCTGCACTGCAATCCCAAGGGCACATAGTTCAAACCCATCAGCTGCTCCACAGGAGAATCATGGGCAATCTCCTGTGCAATTAACTGCCTCTGAAAACCCACTAGCGGAACAGCTATAGGTTGGTTTCGACTCGGCTATACACAACAACATTCCACTGCTCGGAATGTACCTCAAAGAAATTAGAACTGAGACACAAATGGAGATATGTAGACTTATGTTCATAGCAGTGTTATTCACAGTAGCAAGAAAATGGAAACAGCCAAAATACCCATCAACAAACGAATGGATTGAGAACTTGTGATACATTCACACATGAAGTATTATGCAGCACTAAGGAATACTATTTCATAAAATAATATATAACATGGGAAAGTCCAGAGAGCATTACGCTGAGTGAACTAACTCAGTCTCATAAGGACAAATACTGCCTAAGACTATTATTGTAAACACAGAAGAATAACTCGTAAGAGGTATATGAAAGTCCAAAAGGGGAAGAGAGGTGAAGGGGGTTAAAAATGGGGGAGAGTTTTAATCACTAGGATAGCAGAGGTTAGCAGGTGAATGGAGGCAGTGAAGGAATAGGAAAGATTCAGTGGGGACTTGAAAAGACAGGATAATAACAGGCATAGATCAATAGCAATGAATTATATAAAATACAATGCATATGAATAATTATATGATAGACCATAAAACAAAGTGTACATGAATTAAATGCAACGTGTATCAATTATTATATTAAAACCATTTTTGAACCACAAATACTACTTGTTCTAAATTGGCAGGAATCATTAAATTTATACTGAAAATTATATGATTTTCTGTTAGTATGCAATTTTTATGTAATGTAATTAATTAAATATATTTTGTTTAACTGCCATTTTACAAAAGAGGAATTTAACGAGATTGTTTGTTTTTCTTTTAGGGGCCTTTTGTATAAATCGTCAACTGATTGCTTGATTCAGGCGGTTCAAGGTGAAGGATTCATGAGTCTGTATAAAGGCTTTTTACCATCGTGGCTGCGAATGGTAAAGTTAGGGGTTTTCCCTTCTTTTTATTTGTCTTTTCTGTCTGTGTATTTGTATAATTTTAAATTTAGAAATATCTTCTTTTCCTTCTGGTTTTTAGCCTGGTGAGACACTGACTCATGGTCCTTTTGTTTATAAATCTCACTCTTGGTTTTCTTCTACCTCTCCCTAGGAGCATAATACCTTTTATGCAAACTAATTACATCTAGAAATTAATAGGTTGACATTATCTTTTTATAAACACATTGAATAGATTTTATTTCTATTATTAATATTATTATTTAAAAGCCTTTAGTAGTCTAGTTAGCCAAAACCTAGTAGTTTGGAAAAGGTATATGGATTTTACACTAGAAACTATTCCTAGGAGAACTTTAATGTTTTAAAACATAATTTGTTACTTTGATGACAAATGTTAAACCACTCACTAATCCTTACTACTGTAGAATTCTGCTTAGTAAGGAAACTAAGATATAGAATTAAATAGATTTAGAAAATATGCAAAGATGAAGTGACCTAGGTAATATTAAAACAAGGTAATAGGAAATACTTTTTTAAAAATTGAAGAGTTAAGGTTTAAAAATTAAAACAATGAAAATTAACAAAATATTAATTTTTGTTAAAATTTAATTGAACATCAACTCTGCACAAAGTCCTGTGCTATAAAGGTATAGCTTTTTAAAACAATTTTATAAATTTTATTATTTTTTATGTGTGCACCGTCAAATTGGGTGTGACTGGTAAAGGAGGAGATTGCCCCTCTTTCTCCAGCAGAGCATCTGATAGAGTCGAACTGTGTACCTCTGGGATTGCAGTGCAGCTTCTTGCCAGTAGGCTACCAGAGCTCCCTTAAAGGTATAGCTTTGAGGTGAACAAATTCGTCAGGATCAACAAGTTTGTTTCAGTGCCTGCCCAAGTGGTGGAGTTTATTATAGTTTATTATAGGTTAGCTTGAGTATAAACACTGAATTAGAAACACGATGCTATGGAAACACATAGAACAGTGGAGTCATTAAGGGGAGATCAATGCAATGGCAACTGGATTAAATACAGTGTAGGCTGGGAAATTGAGAAATCCTCTCTGAAGAATAGACTTTTGAACTGAGATTTGAAGAACGTGTAAGACTTGCTCAGGTAAGAAAGATAGAAATATTTGAGATGAGTGAATAAGGCAGACAAACCAACCAAACTTACAGGAGCTCAAGGAGCCAAAGCAAGCCCAGGAGGCTGAGGCATAAACCCTGGTGGGCAGAGAGGCACAGCCTGAAACAGAGAGCAGATCAGGGAAGACAGAGTAAACCGCAAGAGTGAGGAAAAGCTCTGCTTAGTTTTACACAGTACACTGGCTCGATGGAATCGGCAGTTTTAAGGAAGATGATGCTGATTCTGGTTGTTGTGTAGTCTGGAAAAGGAGATGAAGTAGTAATAGTTGAAAGATAATGGGGCTGGGATATGGGAGTGGGAGCCAGAAGAAAATGCATTAAAAAAGAAGTAGAAAGTAGAATGGAGAAAGAAATGTAAATGATCAGATGGGTATAGAGAATGGCTGGGAAAAAATAGAAGTGAGCTTTACTCGCAGGCTCCGGCTCTCAGTAACTGATGGTCATATCATTTACTACAATGGAGATAATTTACAAGGAGAAGGTTTAGGGGTAAAAGAGGACAAGTTCAGTTTATCTGTGTTAAGATTTGGATTTCCATAGGATATCCAAATAAAGATGTCTGGACCTCTACCTTAATATATCTGGATCTTAAGAAAGAATACAATAAAGATCGTATAAATCTTTACATTTTCTCCATAGAGATATTAAATTTATGAAAGTAAGTAACAATACCAATGGACAGTATATGTCTGTTTATGAATATGAACTTAATAATCCAAGAACTTGGAAATATCAGATACAAATGTGTGCCGTATTTGAGAAACATTATTTTGGTGGTCTTGATTTTAAATTATACTACTTAAACTATGTCTATTTCTTATTAGAAAGGAAGATTTTTATTTGGCCTCTATGAACTAGGCACTATTATGAGTGCTGTTACCATTTAGGAATAAGATAGAGTCTTTGCATTAGAGAAGCTCACAGTGAGATGGAAATGATGTAGTTAGGAGCTATAGAGTCGACCCTGGCTCCTAGCAACCCTAGGAACAACAGACTGGAGCCTTGCACTATTCTGTGGCATAATCACAATATCTGATAGAGCAGATAAACATGTAAATAGTTAAAATAACAGAAATAATAAAGCTACTATTACTCAAACACTTTGTCAACCTGGTGCTAAATATTTTTATGCCTAACTCACAGACTTCTCTCAATAAGTTGTGAAAGAAATTATTACCTTCTTTCGTAGACGACGTAACAAAAGCTTAGAAAGTGTGAATAACTTGACCAGCTTGGGTTTAAAAAAACAACCAACCAACCAAACAACCCCCAACAACCAAAGGACAACACCACCAAATTCATTGCCATAAATTCAGAAATTAAACAGTGGTATGAAGGAATCAAACCCAGTCCCTGTGGATGTTTTCATAAGGCATGCCACCATCAGTCTGTCATTTTGTCAGTCATGTGAACAATGATGCAGACGGTGTGGAACAAGGAAGTGTTTCTCTCTGTTGCATAGAGGGGTCATCAGGAGTCAGAACTGAGGTAGCAGCAAGCAAAAATATTAGTGTTCTGCTAGTGAAATGAACAAAATGGAGTGAGAACTACAAGAAGTGAGAAAATGTCTAAAAGGTGTGATTTTCTAAAAAGCTGAGCTTTGAGGAATTATTGGGCATTTGCTAAATGAAGCACCAGGGGACACAGGCCTCAGGTCCTGTGTGAGCCTGATACAGTGGAGAACTGCAGAAATGTCAGTTTGGCTAGAGAACAGGTTCTCAGGGAGAAGAGGCAGGAAATCAGGCTAGAGAAGCAGTTAAAGACCAGGCTGAATGGAATCTTGTAGGCAAAGGCAGTAGCATAGATGTAGCTCTGTAGTCAGCAGGCAACTGTTTAAGTGGGTACAAAGAATAAAGGTTCTTAGGAAGAGGGGCAAGATTATGTTGGCTGCAGAATAGAAGATACACTGGAAGCTAGGACACCAGAAAGGAAGGAAGTCTAAGCAGTGGTGTAGACAGTAGGTATGTGTAGAAATGAAAAGAGAGAATAACATAGGGCCGTTCATGGTTAACTCCACAGATTTTGTTGTTGCTGTTGTTCTTGTTATAACATCAAGTTAGAACCAACTCATAGCAGACCCTGCAGCAGGTCTGGGAGGATCTTGCCTGCCCATCTTTCTCCCACAGACCAGCTGGTGGATTTGAACTGCATGCTTTTGAGTTGACAGTGTAACTCCTTACCACTAGGCCACCAGAGCACCACAGATTTTAACAACCAATCTTATGTGGAAAGTGAGGGAGGGAAAGAAAGCCATGGGATTTTGATCTGTCCAGTGCAGGAGATACATAGAAGGACTGAGGCCACTGATGAAAATAAATTTTGAATCAGGAAGGAATAGAAACTAAGTGGAAGGAAACGATCCAAGTAAAAATTAATCCTAGGATTATTTTATCTAATCCAGTGTCTTTATCTATGAAATTTTGGAAGTATAAATGACAAAAAAACCCTCAACAAACCCAATAAATGTAACAAAACTTAGTAGGTGACAAACACTACTTGAAACTCATTTTCTGACATTAATTATAGTTTTTAAGATCTTACCAGAAACTAATAAAACAGGTCAGGTTATCCTCATTTTTTCAGATGAGAAAACCAGGGCTTGAAGAGTTAACTAGCTGGGAGGGGAAGGCCCTCTATGAGGTGGATTGATTCAGTGACTGGGGTAATCAGCATGGGTGTGTTAGAGACAGTGCGATTGGCACAGCACAGAGCAGAGTTTAGGGCTGTTGTACATAGGGTCGCTATGAGTCGCAAGTGACTCGACGGCACATAACAACAACAAAAACATGATGCAATAGACTTGAGAACTGGCATGCAATTCCCTTCAAATCTAAACTCCATGCTCCAAAATCATACATTATATTGAACTGCTTATAGACGTGAAAGTATTTCTAGAAATTTAAGAAGAAAACAAACAGGGCATGGTGATGTATTGCCAAAGACAGGCTGGCTGACCACCAGAGGCTACTACAGTGGCACTGACTTGTTGATAGGTCACAGTGCCTTGAACTTGGACATCTGACCTAGCCCTTCCAAGTCAGGCAGTTTTGCAAATAGAGACTCAGCTTAGTTGAACTCACAAAAACTAATGGTCAAACTAGAACATGTTCTCTCACATGGAAAACTCATTCGTGAAGTGACTTGGACACTAACGTCCTCCATGTAGCAAGTTTCTTCCTCTATTAAAGTTAGAGTAGAAATAAAATTATTATCAGAAGGTTGTTTGCCAAACAAAGAATCACAAGAGGAAAAGGTTATTTATGAATAAAGTTAATATTTATCACTAACTTAGTGGTTTTATTTCTAAGTCATCAACCTGTATGCATCCAGCAGCATAGTGGCAGGCATGGGGAAGGATTCTACCTTTTCCTTAGCAGTTACAGCAACAGGAGGGATTTCTGGTGGCCTCGTGGGTAAGGTGTTACACTGCCAACCTAAAGGCAGGCAGGTCGAATCTACCAGCTGCTCTGCAGGAAAAAGATGAGCAGTTTCCTCTCATGGCTATTTACAGCCTCCGAACATCTGCTAGAGGGTCAGCTATGATTTGAGATTCAACAGCAGTGAGTCTGAGTTTTGATAGCAACAGGCAGACCAGAGGTGAAAACTGGAGTTCACATTCAGTTGAATTATTTACACTGGTCACTCTAACAGTTAGGAAATCACCAAGAGAACAAGTGTCTGACGTATCCTCCAGCACCCAGTCTATCCTGTTTAGATATTGCCTATGTTGGCTGTACGCTATCACTCAACTCCTATTCAAAACCCAGCTAAACTCCATCTCAACCCCTTCCATACGGTAAAGTAATATAGTCTTGTACTCCTCAATTCTTGATGCAGATTTATTTCATTTTAATGTATATAGGTTCCTGTAATGCTATTCACTGGAGGAAAAAGTCTGATTACTGAAGCAATTAGGAATGACTGCTGAGTTCATTCTCAAATCCAGACCTCTATCTCCTTGACCTGGCTGCAATTATTAACCTTGGGGTTTTTAAATTTTTCTTGCCACAGGGAAACAGTATCTCCACAGTGTCATATTTCCTTATTTCGTTCATGTCTTCCTACATTTAGCTAACCAAGATGTGTTCTCCTACATCCACTATTTAGTATATTCTCAGTCTGCCAGTATGATACACTCAATGTTTCGAAACACATGTGACGCAAATACTGCTTCACAAACTCGAGCCAAACGCATTTTACATTCTGCTTAAGCTCATTTGTCTGCTCAAGTATAAAAAGAGTTCCTGTCTCGTGTATATTAAGTATTATCTATGGATTGGATCAGACTGGCATTTGATCTCAGGCATCCTTTCTCCACTAGTTACTTTTAAAAATTACTCCACAATTTCCTTCTCTTTCTTTAGCTTCTAAATAATTTTTTTAAATTGTTAAATAAGGGAGCTCTGGTGGTGCAACCCATAGAAAGCTGCACTACTAACACAAAGGTAGTCCCTTTCTGGTGGTTCACATCCACCAGTGGCTCCAGGGGAGAAAGAGGGGAAGTCTCCTCCTATCTGTAGCCTCAGAAATCTACGGAAGAGTTAACCATGTTGGTTTTGACTCAATGGCAACCAGTTTGCATGTGCTGTTAAATATTAGCTTCATTCCCTTCTCATTCCTTTATGTATAGTTACACCTTCACTCAAGTTAAGGTTTTTCTAACATGGAAACTCTCTATTTACTGTGAATGTTCATATTCATACTGTGGTAACAAAAGGTATTGGTTTTATGGCCTAACTCCCATAAGTCAATCTTCCATCATCCTCAGTTTCAAGTTCCCAAGAATGTGATTGTCATGCTCTTTCATCTACATACAGAGGAGCCCAGTCTAGTCTGTCCATGGTTCCTCAGGTCTCGCCTTTGAGCCAGGAAAAAGAGAAACAACTGTGGAATGAAAGCCATCTCTTGCCTTAGCACACAACACAACATGCTCTTAGGCATTTGACCCACAATCCTCATTGTCCTCACCTGTGAAAGAGACATGCTAATAGCTTTCCTTTGTATTGTAGATTGTTTAGGGAAATCTTAGTAGAGTTACAATGTGAATGTGCTTTGTAAATGATAAAGTACCAAGTTGAAATATCAAACTATTTGTTTGCAGCCTGAGTTGATTCAAAATGACTGTGTTATTCCAAGTGTGTGTGTGTATATATGTGTGCACACATACATATATAGAATATTTATAATTGCTTTGAAATATGCACTAACTTCTTTGGTTAATCTTTCAGACCCCTTGGTCAATGGTGTTCTGGCTTACTTATGAAAAAATCAGAGAGATGAGTGGAGTCAGTCCATTTTAAGTCCTTAAAGATGCAGACCAGTAATAACAGTATTCAATCTCATTGAAATGTGGGCCTCTGCAAACCCTCCCCCCCTATTATTTCTACCTCTTTAGGAAGACACCTTACACCACAAAGACTGTGATTTATAGGGGGCAGCACTTGATTTTTCTCTGGAGAGCCAAGTTCTCTTTGCCGACTAGTTTGGTCCAGACGTGATATGGTCATCTGGTGAGATCTCACAGAGCCACCCAGTGAGACCCAGCATAGCATTTTCTAAAGAAGAATACAGTCCTGACTATTTTCACCTTTGGCAAGAAGGCCTGACCTTTGTTGAGATGCTATTATGTGCTGAAGAGCCTGCTTAGAGGAAGAACGCAGAGGGAGACAGCATCTCAGACCGGAAGCAGACAATACTATTTAGAGATGTGGAAGACTCTGTGACTCGGTGTTTAATATATTTCACCTATTATCTCAGTATTTACAATTGAAATTTTACATTTTCCTTTTCTGTTATTAAAAGTGTATATGTTGTAACTTAAAGGGAGATGAATAAAACTCCACGAATACACATTTTTAGTTTCCCTAGTGTTGAAGGAAGTTGATGTATCTTTTTCTTGCCAGGAAGATGGGGAGGGGGGGAAAACAAACCCCAAGATACGATGTTTGAATGTCAACGAAGAAGCTATTTCCGCCCATATGCCATGGAGAGATTGAACAGCACTCAAGTGCATGTCTAAGAACTTCCCCTGAGAGTCACGGACTGAATCCTGACAAAAGCAGAAGGGCATTCGCCTGGTTATATACCCTATTTATAACTTGATTTGTCACTAGCTCTCAAATACATGGTGTATAAAAATTATTTAAGATTATCTTGTATAGGCCCTTTATATAATGAAAGCTTCTCTCATCATCAGTCTCTTACTGGTATTTGGAAAGCAAGGCTAATATAAAGTCAAGGAAACCTTGGTGGTGTAGGCCATAAGGAGATCCACTGCTAATCCTAAAGCCACCTCTCTCTTCAGATTTGAATGTACCAGCCAGTCTACAAGAGAAAGATGTCCAATCACCTCCTATTTGATTTAGAACCTCTGAAAAACCACTAGAAAGTCAACTCTTAGTTGCTTCTGACTTGACAACAATGAGCTAATTAATGACTATAAAGTTAACCAACACTGGTGTGCATTGTACCTAGCCACCCCTTCCCGAACAGAAGGGTTTTCAAGAGAGAGAATTCACAAGCACCTGAAAATGACATTGAGCCTCAATCATATCCAGTTCAACAAATCTTCCTAGGCTGAAAAATGGTAAGAATAAAATATCTGCGGCATACAGTTAGGTTTTCAATCACTGAATCGGACCCTTCTTTTCCAACGTAGGGAAATTTCGCTCCTCCAATCCCAGACAGTAGCCATTCCTAGATGGATGCTTAGCGGTGGGCTAGGAGTAGTGATTGTTGAAACATAAAAACTCAAAAGCACTGAGATCGAAGGAAAACCTCACAGTTACTAAACAAAGTGTTTGCTGTGATGGCCATTGCTGATACTGAACCAAACAAATGTTTACAAGTGCTCCGTGGTTGCACTACTGTAGAATCACTGCCATTAGCGGATGGGTGGCAAGGGTGGTCCATTTTAAAACACGATGTGATATGCTAATAAACAGCAGCTTGTTCTTGTTGCAGAATGTGGCGTTTCACTCATAAAATCTACTTTTCCATTGCATTTGTCAGTCTGTATTAAGTTATTAAATATATTTCAAATATATTATTATGTGCTTCAATTCCCAAGTATCTATAGTAGAAACACTTTGTGGGATTTGTGATTTTTTTAAAAAATATTTTATAAGATTTAGAAGTAAGTAAAGACTGGTTTAACATAATTATATTAAATGGACCATGAAAAAAATGTATCTAGCTTAATTCTTTGGAAGTATTTGGATTGAAAATACTGCTTAAGTGCTGTGTCTTGATCAACATGAATAACTACGGAATTTTTATCCTGAAATGACTCTTTGAGATCATCTGGTTTAGCCCTTTCCTTTAATATGTTAGGAAAATGAAGCTTAAAAACCCAAGAGGTCCTGAAGGCAATACATTATTCAGTAGCAGAGCCAGACAGACTCCCTAACTCTTATTATTATAGTTTTCAGTTATTGTTGGTCACCAAGTAGTTGTCTTTTTCTGTCTTCACCACTATCTATTATATTGCACAGCAATTGTTTCAAAAAATCCAGATTTTTCTTTATGGTAATTCTTATGTCATGTATTTTAAGTGAATTGAAATCGCTTTAAACATGAATATTCGAATATCTTGCCATGCTTTAGAGCTTGAACATTAAGACTTTCCATAAGTGGTGCAAGTCCCTTATGTCCCAGCATATTCCTGACTTTTCTAGTGAAACCATATTCCTTAACATATCTTGTGCTTTTGGTTTCTTTTTACCAACTTGTAGTCATCCTGTTCCTCCAAAATAGCCCAGAGTAAATTAAAAGGAATAAAAATGTTCATAATTTGTCTCCACATTCATAGACTTAATAATTTCAACCTCACTTATTTTTTTAAATTTTATTACTTTTTGTGCATGTACCATCAAATCGCATCTGACTGGTACAGGAGGAGATTGTCCCTCCTTCTCCAGCAGAGCATCTGGTGGATTTGAACCCCCGCATCTCTGGGATTGCAGTGCAGCTTCTTGCCACTAAATCACCAGAGTTCCCTTCAACTTCATTTCTTATAATAGTACTATTGTATGTGATTCTTCTCTACTTTTCTTCAGCATAGTATCAAGATTTAACACATAGGCTCCTTTTCTGGAAATAGCCTGATAGCAGTGACTTGGTTTTTGTTGTTTTTATACTTTGCTTTCACATATTCTCTTGTTTTTCTTACTCAAAAATATGCACACTCATCTCTTTTACCTCCATACAATTCTCTACCCTTTATATATACAAGCAAGTTAGCACAAAGAGGTAAACAGGTAACATTTCTTAATTATTTTTTTAAGGAGAAATGGTTTTTCATCAGTGCTGTCAAAATTTGTTTAAGTATAATTAATGCTAACTGAAAGGTCAGTGGTTCAAACCCAGAAGTGGCTCCCCAGGGAACGAGACCTGGTAACCAGCTGTGGTGGGAATTTCTGCTCAGGAAGCCTGCCACTCAGTTCTGCTCTGCCCTGTGGTTACTAAGAGGTGAAACTTGTTATTGTTCATTTACTAAAATGGTTCCACCAGTAATTTTGGAAACCAATTGTTATTGTTGTTGTTAGGTATCATCAAGTCTAGTGTGATTCATAGCGACCCAAGAACAGCGGATATGAACCCCATCCTATCCTGACATCCTGTTCCTCTTCAAGGAACATGCCCAAAGTATGTGAGGTGAAGCCTCATCATTCTTGCCTCCAAAGAGCACTCTGGCTGCACCCTTTTCCAGACATTTCTGTTTGTTCTTTTGACCATCCATGGTATATTCAGTGCTCTTCTCCCAACACCACAGCTCAGAGGCATCATTTATTCATTTGGGAACAGATAGATCATGAAAAAAGTTCCTTTTGACCATTTAAACAAGAAAGACTTTCTGTTTTGGTAGATTCAATGGAATATATATTATTCCTTTTGTATTCCTTTTTATATTACACTATTTAAGAAGGACCATTTTGATGATGGAGTAATTAAAGACCCAGGAAGCCCATTATTTTCTTAAATTCTCATCATTTAATACTTGCCTCTTTGGTTGTAAACACATTTAAATCTTGATTGTGAAGTGCTATTACTGTACCCGTGCATTTAGTGGAAATAATATCCAGTAAAGATTTGTTTGCCAAAGGTGGTTCTTTCCTCTACTTAGGGGAAGTGCTCAAAGTTTTGGCTGAGGTTTTTCTTACCTGAGCTGTTGATGGTGTGGTGACTTACACTGTGATACAAATCTGGAACTATCGATGCTATGGGTCAGAGATTATAATAGAAACATGGATGCAGATTTCAGATGTGACATATTTTTCATTTTTACAGAAGGCTTTAAGCTGACTGTTGATAAAGTGGTGACCCATAGTTTCTGGTTTTAACTAATCAGCATCCTAACTGAAGAAGAAAAACCACTCAGGACTGTATTGGCTTCTGTGGGCCTGAAGCCCAACATTTGTGTCCACAGCTTATTCCAGGGACTGACCATGCTCCATTTTAAGCTTCGATTTTGAGGCTCTGTCTCACATACTTTGGGCATGTTGCTAGGAAGGACCAGTCCTTGGAGAGGGGCATTATGCTTGGAAGGGTGGAGGGACATTGCAGGAGAGGAAGACCCTGGATGAGATTGGATTGGCCCAGTGACTTGGCTAATGGAGGGTAGAAATGTCTGACACAATGAGATTGACTCAGGATAGGGCAGGATTCAGAGCTATTATACATAGGTTTGCTATGAGTTCCAGGCGATTTGACGGCACATAACAACCTATAAAATGGGAATGCTAAATGTACCTAATAGCTCTTCAGCCGCCGATGTTATTTTACTTTGAGTTTTGTTTTGCTTTTTAGTCAGAAAACTGGTATTAGTGGAAGCCAGGGAGATAGACTTTGTTCAGTTCCTATTGAAAAAGTACCAGCTACATCATTTTGGCCAAGTGATTAAGTGGCTTAACCTCCTCTGATATAGTCCTGGTAGGGTAATTTGTGACTTGTCAGCCTGCTAACTGATTTGAATCCACCTGCTGCTCCTTGAGGGGGAAGGAGAGTAATCTCCTTCTCATAAAGGTTAACAGTGTTGAGAACCTGATGAAGGTTCTCTATGAGTTGGGCTCTGGTGGCTTAACAGTAAGAAGTTGTATTACCAATGCAAATGTACATGGTTCAAATCCATCAGCTGCTCCATGGGTGAAGGAAGGGCGATCTTCTCCTGTGTGATTTACTGCCTGTGAAAACCTACAGGAGGGTCAACTATGGGTTGGTTCTAACTTGATGGTACATAACAATAATGTGTAGGACAATGCCTTCTGTTTTTATGATTCTGTACTCTGATAATAGCTTTATT